CGGTTAGTTAATTTGTACCGTATAAGTTTTGCTACGTGTTAAGTTAGAAAACCTCTCCAAGGCTTCTAAAACTAGAAAAACTGTCAAATTTCGACAGTAACTGGCACTCTAGTATCAAATTAAAGTGCAAGCTGCAATTGCAGTTACCGTGTTTGTCACAAAAGTAAAATTGGCAGAAAAAATAATAGTGAGCAGCGTAATCTATTGAAAGATATTTACCAAATATGCGTGGAATTTTGATTCGGATTCGCGTTATTCATAGTTTCGAAATTTATTTCGCGAAAGCAAAAAATAAAAATAGCTTAGATCACTTTCTTTTTAAACACCTAGGATATCACTGAGAAATTTAAGGGGCTCAGGATGACGGTAAAATTCAAAACTCTAAAAATTTTTTGATGCGATTTTTGAAATGAATGATCCAAATTAGCCGGTATACATATTTATGTATTTTAAAGCTTTAAGAATCAGTGGTTGAATTTTTTGAAAGGGTTAAGAAAGCTTTAGTTTTTTTTTTGACAGTTTATGCCAGTTTAACAAAATACATGTAAATTTTTGTTTTTGTACTCCTGCTATCACCTTATATTAATTCGCCTTGGCCTATACAATGCCGAAAACTTAATGAATAAAATACACAAATTTTCAACTCCAAATTGATCGTGTATAAACAAATGCAATCAGATATTTCATTGATTCAAGGTGTTATAAGAACAAGTGTTTAACAACAAGTAATGCGCATCACAAATACCATAGTCCGAAACAGTGACCTGGGGCTGGATTCTGTAACTGTACTGGATTCAATTGAGCACTGAAAGTTGTGTGCACTCTTCATTTTGCGATTCATGAAGTGTGAGAATGAGTTTTAGCTGTCGAAATTGTGCACACTTCCTCATTTTGCCATTCAGCAAGTGTGAGAATGAAATCTTGTCAAAATTGTGTACACTTCCCTTCCTAAAAACTCACTGAATTTTATTCGCTGAGTTTTTGGTTGGAAGTTTTGCACTCGGTGTACACTACATTTTCTCACAGTTACAGAATCCTGCCCCAGGAGTGAAAATGGTTATTATAAACGCATTCTCGGCGTTGGACAAAAATGAGAATAGAATATCCACAAAACAAGAAAATCGAAACTCTCTTTGCTTACTGGTTTCCATACAATATATGCACTTTGTAAAAGAATAAATCATTTTGGTTTTATCAAGCCAGCAAAGAAATTTTCAGTTTCCTTCGAGTTTTCTGACCTCCAACTCTTAACAATTCAAGTCTGAATAATTTTTTATACAGTGACATCAAAAGGATCCCTTCTTAGCAAACGAGTTGCCTCGTCATATCTCCTGTCAAATAATGGGATTAAGATTAAACTTTTGATGTAAAAGGGGTCCTTTTCAAAAAGTATTTTTTCAATATTTGCATGCTTTCAAAAAAACAGGAAATATAACATATCGAACGCACAATATATAATTTAATATAATTAATTATTTAAATTAAATGCGTTACCTAAATTGGTAAGACTACGGATATCAGATTTGCGTGCAAGGCATTCAGCAGTTTCGTAATATCCCCTCCTCAGCAGATGTTCTATTACTATGCGGTCCATTCGAATCTGAAAGAATAGTGACGATAAATTAATTGATTAGGCGTAATTTGGTAGCTAAATATTTTTTTTATTAAAAAATTCACATATCAAGAGTTTCCCAGCAACACCGAAATCCTAGGACATTGTCAGGCAGACAGATATGATCGGCAATTCAAGCGTACACGAAAGCGACGTTCATCCGCAGCACTCCTTCTCTGCTCGATGCACGCAAAGCAACAGTAGCGCGTTCGTTTTGCAGAAATCAATCTTTGATGATTCATGGGAGCTCATGTTTTTTTCTTTGAAACGATTTAAGAGAGCCGCAATACTATATTTGTTGGAAACAATTAGCAAAGTGCCACAAACATAAGGCGACATTACTTATCATGCCATATGTATTTTGAAAAATGTAAAAATTTATTGATCAAACGAAAGCGATTGGCATTAACTTGTTAAAACAGTCAGATCACATTGAAAAAAAATTTAATGAGCTCCAAATATAAACAACTTCTTATGTTGTTGCATTATCTGCCACAACTATTAATCGCCGTACGGGAATTTACGGTTGTGCAAAAACGCTTTCAAGAATGTTTTTTTTTTTCTATTAGCTTAGATAAGAGTACTGATATATGTAAGTAGCACAAATCAATTAATAATTTATTTAAAAACAATGCGCGACAATTTGGCTACTCATGCGGATTTCTTAGGGTTCGTTCCTATGCAGGAGCATGTAAATGGGCAAACATTGCGGGAAGCTGTTAAAAATAGGGTGTTTTCAATTCACAATTATGTTTAGTAGGAAAAATGGAAAAATCAGCAAAGTCCAAGCGTCAGAAGTTATAGCTGCTATTTCGGAGATCGCCGCATCATTTTCATCATGGCATTAACTTGTTAAAACGGTCAGATCACATTGAAAAAAATTGTTATGAACTCCAAACATAAACAGCTTCATATCGATGGCTGAGTGGAAGATCGACCTATCTCGGCAGCCAGTTCGAAAGCGCCCTATTTCAGAAAATTTTTCAACATCGTTTTATCTCAAAAAACTTTTCAAGAACGCCCTACTTCAGAATTTGATTAAAAAACACCGTACCTCAGAATTTGGTTGAATAACACCTTATCTCAGCTGCCGATTCAAAAACGCCCTATCTCAGCTTATTTTCAATGTATTTTCGTTTGAGATAGGGCGTTTTTGAACCGAATTCTCAGATAGGGCGTTCTTCAACAAAATTGTGAGATAGAGTGTTTTTCAATAAAATTCTGAAATAGGTTGTTTTTTAATAAAATTCTGAAGTAGGGCGTTCTTGAAAAGTTTTCTGAGATAGAGCGTTTTCGAACCGGCTGCCGAGATAGGTCGATCTTCCACTCAGCCATCGATATGTTGTTGCACCTCCCCTGGCGGCGCAATGCAGGCCTTTTTGGAAAAAATACTTTTCAAGAGTTTTTAAAATGCTTTGACGAAAATGGAGAAGATATGGCTTTGCTTGTAGACCAGATTCCATTATCTGCCAGAACTATTAATATTAATATTTGTTTTCCTTTTCTATTAGCTTAGAAAAAAGTTCTGATATATGTAAGTAGCACAAGACAATTAATAATTTGTTTAAAAACAATGCACAACTTGTTTAATTATGAGGATTTCTTAGAGTTCGTTCCTATGCAGGAGCTTGTCAATGGGCACACATTGCAGGAAGCTGTTAAAGACAAGGGGTTTTCACTTGGGCATAAAAATAAATTTAGTTCTATTTTAAGTGCAACAACATCAGAAGCTGTTTATGTTTGGAGTTCATACAATTTTTTTTTTAATTCAATGTGATCTAACTGTTTTAACAAGTTAACGCCATGATGATAATGATGTGGTGATGTCCGAAGTAGCAGCTATAACTTCTACCGCTTAGACTTTGTTGCTTTTTACATTTTTATTAATAAACATAATCGTAGTACAAAGCTCAATAACAATATTAAAATAAAATGTTAATAAGCCACAATAACATTTGCAAATACATAGTTTAAGATGAGCCTGCCTGAAACTATACTATAAAGTAAATTAATGTATAGAATTAACAACAACAACCACGCTGTCAAGTTTAAATAGCGGCAGATCAGCTGCACTTGATATAAGTAGGTTGAAAAGAGGAAAAAAACCTCATGTGGCCCACCCAGAATTGGGCAGTAAAGATTTTTTCACACAAATCACCTTACTAGGTTTACAACCATAAAAAATATATAATTTGAGCAATTTTGCAAAATTCGAATTTTTACAAGAGTTATTGTTATTAACTTTTTTTATGAATTCATTAATTATTTATTATCCACTGATTAATAGCATGTGTATCGTTAATTAGACGCGCTTTGATTGTTTAAATTTTTAAAATAATCATTAGCTTGTACAAAATTTTTAATTTTTATAAAAAAAAAATATAAACAAATGGAAATATTTATTACTTCTCGACCAGATCTTTTAATCATTTACATTAAATATCAATCCTTATTCTATAATACATTATTTAAAAGAAAAGACACGGAAACTTGCTCGGAGTCGCTAGTTATTACTTCTTTTCGCTCTTGCCACGGGTGCTTTTTCTTTCATGCCGCGTACCGCGCACTCGCAGCGAGCGTGGTGTAACCAGAGGACGCCAAAAATATTAAATTTATTTATAAACATAAGCATAGATTATTTAATATAATATTTTTTAAAGTTGTATACATAAATAAGTACATTACAGTGTCCCAAAAAACCAAAGGTGTGTTTTTTTAACGCATACCCCCTCATTTTATTAGTTTTGTCTGAAAATCTCTCCAAATAAAATTGTATGCAATTCGAACCACGGCAACCCGGGCCGACTTGCAGTAAAAGTTACTAGAATAATCTTTCGCGTGTTTTGTTAACTTACTCATTTTACTTCTTTATAAGGCGGTATTACTTACACCCTACAATATTAGGGCATACTATTTAGTAAATCTGCGTTTTTAGTTTTTACCAGGTGGGCAGAATTTTTTCCCACGGCCCCCTAATTATAATAAATTTTCAAAAGCATACACAAAATATGAAAATATGGGTATCAATTAAAAAGAAAATTCATAATAAGATTAGTTCTAACTTTTATTTCCAATATCCTTTTGGAACATGTCAAAAATGTCCTTTAAAAATATTATCATTCAAGAGTTTTAATTTTTAATGCATTTTGGAGAATCTTAGTTTAATTTAAATCCTCTTAATATATGTATATACACAGACATGGGCACTTTTTTGCCCGCGCAGTAGCGAAAGTGCGAGCGCGGGCTGGAGAAAGGGAAAAACAGTTTACGGGAGGAAAGGTATGAAAAGTTGCGAAAAAATTATTTATATCCCACCGACATCATGTTCATCGCAGTACGGCTGCGCTAATACTGACTTTGTGTACCAAACAAAAAGCATACATTTTCCTCATATACACAATAAGCCATCGTTCGGAGTTCGCTCCGATAGGAGTAGATTGGTTCCGTTTTGTCGAAAAAATTTGAAACCTAGTCCTCTACTTCGCTCAACTGAAAATCTGCTCCGTTTTGTTGCATCAACAAATTTACTCTTCAAATAGAAAGGAGGTGGGGTTTTTAATAGCAAACTAAAAGTTATATTTTACCTTTTTATAGACACGATTGTTACATTGGTGAGCTACAGCAACTTTGCTAATACACTTGAATTCGTGAATAGGGCCTCACAATCGCCCGATTTGAACCCGATCGAAAAATATTGCTCTGTCTAAAGTTCTGTAATTGCGTCGTTGCCCACCGATGTAACAATTGTCCCGGTAAAGAAAGAATGAAATAACTTTTTATTAATTTTAACCAAGGCATTTTAACTTTAATGATAATTGCTCGCTGGATTAAGGCGCCTTTACACGGGTCGATTTTCTAGTAGATTTTTGTCGTTCAACCAAAATCGACCCGTGTAAATGACATCTCAACCACTAGCTGGTCGATTTTCCAGTCTACAGATATCGACCCTTATAAGGCCGCTTTAGCTCCTTATTTGTACATGGATACGAGAAGAAATGAATTGTTTTTTATAAAGATAAGAAATGCACATCTACTACGAATACTTGATATTTACTTCCATTTATGTAGTCCGAACCCAGCAAAGAGCGCTAGGTGAAGGTCAGCTAGTGATCAAATTTGCCAACAGGGCTGTCAAACATACATAGCTATGAAGTGCCATATTGAGGATAAAAAAGTGCTAAAACCGTGCCATTCTCTTTAGTTCTTCCCATTAGCATTAAAATTAGACAAATTAAAACAAAAGCCCAATGTCAAAGTAAGATAAACCAGTTGTATACACTATAGAAATTACAAAATTTTAGTTGAGAAAAAGAAGTACACGCAAAGGATTCCACAAAAATGTATTTAAATTTGGCTTTTTTTCAAAAGTGCTATTTTGGAACTTTGTGCAAAATTGAAAAATTCAGTGCCATTTCAAGTAAAATAGTGCCAAAAATGGCATGGTTAGAGTCAAGTTTGCACCCCTGATCGCCAAGTTTTTTATTTAAAAAAGCACCAAAATACTGAAAATAGCGTAATAACCGTACAATATTTAGAACGCATTGACTAGTTGAACCTTCAAAACCAGCTTACCCTTATGTAGTTATCAATTAGTTATCGACACTGCTTTTATTTCAATTAGGAAAAGTTAATTTTAAGATAGCGAAGAAAATGCGGGGCAAAGGCAGGACGCTTGGACAGAATCAGTACATTTTGGGGGCTTTCTGTTTTGAAAAACTACGCAGGACAGACCTTTAAAAAACAGTACGGTCCTGCAAAAAACAGAACGGATGGTCACCGTAAATATAACCCAACTAACCGAAGCTGTTGGGTTGGGGGGCTAAACACCTTTCGCAGAGAACACCTCTCTGCGTAGGCGGCCTTCGGCCGCACTTAAGGATTATAACCCTCAGGCAGTAGAATTCTCCTTTCTGTGTTTCCAAAGGAGGGGCTGAACACCTTTTGCAGAGAACAACTTTCTGCGTAGGCAGCCTTCGGCCGCACTTAGGGATTATTTTTTATTATTTATTTTTTACAGTCTGTTAGACTTATATTGCAACAAAGATTTAACATTCTTATAATTAGATTTAGATTTAAAATGTTAAATATTAAATACAAAATAACATAAATAACATTATTTCTTTATCACTGCAATTAATTTATTGCAATATAAACGCATGCAATCTTCTGGAAGTTATGTAGACGGTTGGAAAGGCCGAGTTTCCAATCCGAGCTATTCTTTTTGGGTTACTCCATTTATTGATATCTCCTGGGTGGTCGAAAAGGCCGAGTTTCCGATCCACCCAGTCGCGCTTTCGTGACGGTTGGAAAGGCCTAGTTTCCAATCCGCTCGTTTATTGTTTATTATCTAAGGATCTAGGTAGTCGGAAAGGCCGAGTTTCCGATCCGCCTAGTCTCGATATCTTGGTGGTTGGAAAGGCCTAGTTTCCAATCCACGCTATTGTTGATACATCTCTATCTTGTAGGCTGCGCTCTTCAATAGTCAAATAGCAGCCGCTTGAAAAGAGTGATTGTATCACAATTTTTTATATCCTCTGGTAATTCATTGAAGCACTTTAAGCCTTTATAGAAAATATTTTTTTTGTCCACTTCTGTTCTATACTTCGGGAGTCTGAAGCTGTTATTCTCTTTCAACAAATATGTGTGCGTTTCATTTATATATCGGAGATTATCGCTAAGATAATCCGGCAGGTTGCCCTTCTTAATATTGTACACAAATTTCATAGCGTGGTAAAAAACTTGTTGCTTCACGCTT